AATAGCTCGTTCATGTGGGTGTTTAGCTTAAAGAACTCATGCCATCCACACATCAAATCAAAGTGGGCATAATGGCATCTTTTGATCGCCAAAGTAATTTGAATAAATCTCCCAAATCGAAATCAGTTGGGATCAAAAGTCGACAACGCACTTCAACACCTAAATTATGAAAATGCAACTCGAACAAGCCCCTGATGAAGGCAGGAAAGCCCTTTATCTTTAACCCAATCATAGGGCATGATCAAGTGAACAGGCGGCTTAAGGCCGGTAAAGACCCCTATCAATCGACCTCTTTTGATCACACTGACCCCAACTGGGTCGCAATCTCTAATTCCTATATGGCTTCCCTTGCTTCATATTATTCCACTTTACACTAGCATCCGCTTCAACAACAATATTCGACATATCCCCCAGGTATTTATAATCCAGAGACATCACAGTATTATTTCCCTTCTTCTAAGCTTATTATCAAATCTTTGTCTTTCTCCATTAGCCATTTTCACTCTAAAGCCTCCTTATTTTATCAGCAGAAGCTTCAGCAGGCAATTGTGGCCACACCTCATCATCATAATCATCTGGGAACTCTCTGCTGCCGCCATCTAGGACAATTTACCTGCGGAATATTACGGAAGCCACCAAGCATGTTGAGATCTTTGATGTTATTAAATGTGGGCCAGTGGCAGAGGTAAAATTACTTGCTGAAAAAAGGTGCATTTATTGAATTTTTGGATCTTCCTACGAGTTTGTCTTTTTTTAATTTTTATTCCAAATCGCCGCCTCTTATTGCCTCCTCCTCTATTCCCTTAAAAGTAGCTTTTGCAAAATCTTCAAGCCCTGTGCCTTTAAATATACAGGCTGCAATGAATTCCGTTCCTCCTGCTACCCGCGTTGCTTATGTTGGCGGATTGGAAGAAAGTCAACTAAATGAGGCTTACTTGCTGGATAAATTTTCATCCTATGGAGCCATTGAAAGTGTGCGTATGCTTAAAGAGAAAAAGACAGCTTTTATTCATTTCGTGACAGTTGCTTCTGCAATCAAGCTCATTTCGCTCTTGGGATCATCTTCGCCCGTATCTCTGGGCCTTCCCGGCTCCAAGATTTGCTATGGAAAGGATCGATTTCCTGTCTCTTCGGCTCGCCAAATTTCAGAACAAAGACTCGCCGTTCCTTCCGTTGCAATGCCAAAGCTACAGACAGCACAAAACATTCCAATGAGCCAGTTTTCGACCTTTTGCATGCAAAATTCACATCTTTTCAAAGTTGCCGGAGTACCTGCTCCCTTTACTCAAAATCATCGCACAATTTTTCTTGGAAGCATCCCAGAAGAGACTTGTTTGAGTGACCTGGCAAATGTGATAAGAGGCGGGCCGCTGTTTAATTTGAAAATTGTGCCAGAAAAAAACTGCGCCTTCATCACATTTGTAAAAGCATCTGATGCACTGCTTTTTTATGTCAGCACTGTGGGGCATCGACCCATAATTTCTCATCTTGAACAAGCCGTCTGTGATTCGGAAAACAAACCGGATGACTCGAAAACCAACATTTCCCCTGATGTTCCTGGAATTTTTGTGCTTGGCAGAAAAATTTACAAAATTGGATTTGGAAAGCCGATAGATTTAACAAATGAAATGCTTGAAGCCATTGAGAAAGGGGGCGCAACTCGAAACATCTACATTGGACTTCCAAAAAAATCGGATGCGCTAGATTTTTTCATCGATGAGCTTCCAGATGATTCTACCATCATATCCGAGTTTTCGCAGTATGGAACCATCGAGTCTGTCGTGCGCGTTCCGGAAAAACAAGTTGCTTTTGTAAACTTTGCAAGCATCGTGTCTGCGCTCAAGGCTCTTGTGGGCTCCAGGTCGAATCGTGTTTTTGAAAGCTGTAAAATTATTTATGGCAAAGATAGATGCTCAACACAAGTGGCAGCACCGCCTTACTTTGATTCGGGGAATCCATATTCAGTGGCCATTAGCAATGGAGTTGGAATTTCAAGCCAACACGCTCCTATTCCCAACTGGCCAATTCCACCACCTCCTCTCCCAGGAATACTCCCCCCAACATTTCCATTCCAACCACAGGCTGGCATTTCACCTTCAATTAATTATCCTAAAAACTAATGTTTCATACAATAAATATTGACCGATAAAATTATGTTCAAGCACTACTTGAGATAAGGCTTCACTGTTGGGAGCTATACTCATATTTGGTTTATTTTTACCATGAAATAGCAGAGTCAAACAAATCTTGAGGTCGAAACCCTTAACCCTTTCGCCATATCTGCATGCATACCGAAAGATGGAGAAAGAAATTGGCCAAGGTTGCCCGTTAAAATTCATTCGGTGCTAACCCTAACCTGAGGAATTAAAATGTTACCCTTAAACCTTGTCCTATGATTCTTTATTGGATCAAAAGCCACCAAATTCAACAAATCAAATGCAAGAACTATAATGAGTGTCTGTTTGCTCAAAGATCAACATGCTTACAGATGCTGGTATCAATGGCGATTTAAGCTTTCTTTTAACCACAGAGCAAGACCAGGTAGCGTTAATCATTTCAATTTAGGCGCTTCAAAACTTTATAAAAACAACGGACCATAAAGTTCCACCATCCACAGCCTTGTTATTTCTGAGGGCTAATGATTTTGTGCTCGAAGATGCTGTCAAAAAGTATTGTTATTATGTTCGAAGGACAAAATCTATGAAACCATCGCTTTACAAGTCTCTTCCACTAATTGTCAATGATGTGGAGGAGAGTCTTAACAATAACGAAGAAAGGTTGTACAAGCTCAAGCCTGGACAAATAATATCTCCTGGATGCATTTCACTTCCGGGAAGCGTCGATAGGAATGGATCCCCAATTATCATCATACACACTAGATTCCTTTCCCATATATCTTGGATGGCTCCAGAGGATATTTTAGAGGCTGCAATCTATTTAGCGACTTATTTTGTGCAACAGCAACCAGAGGCCATCAGAAACTCTGCATGCATCCTTGTCGACCTTCAGGATACCCCTTGGCATGTTCAAAAGAAGCTTATGAGTGTCATGTCGACAAGTGAAGACGAGATTCCAGAAGCAATGGAAGATTGTGATGTCTTATTCGAGTCAATAAGAATGGTGCTGTCCTTTTTCACCGAATGTTTTCCAATCAAGTGGGGTGCAATTATTTTATATAAGCCCTGGTGGTACCTAAAATGGGGGAATTTTGGAGCAACCATTGTCACTTCGGAAGAAGAACTATGGATGCATGTTTCGTCAAGAGACCTTCCAATTCAGTATGGCGGCTCTTTGATCGCTGACAAGGCGCTTTTTTTGCGCAACCTTGTGGCTCGGGCCCAAAAGGAGGGAGAAGATTCTTTTTTTGTAAAATCAAAAGCAGATGCAAGGCAGACTGCAAAAAGAGGATATCAGGTAGCGTTTGATGCAGATTTAACCAACCCATGGTCAATATTGGAAAGCATCGTTTCCCCAGGTGAAGAGGGGAGATGCAAGCTCTCAAAAGAATATTCAAATTGTACGTTGGCCCAAATTAAAAAGTATCTCGTGGGGAAGGAATAAATTTTTTATCTTGTGCCGATTGGCAGTTTCTTGATTGTTAAAATTCGGTTATGTAAAGGCTGCCAAAACGCACATGTGCACTTTAAAAATTTACTGGAACGTTAACAATATTTTAATGTTCGTTTTCACTCTTGAAGCGGTCAAATTCGGCAATCACGCCAGAGATTTGCGACTGGATTCGGCGTAGACCCTCTATTTGCCGGGTGACTTCATTGAAATCAGAATCTTCAAGTTGCTGAGGGCTCTCGAACGGAGATGCAGGATGGCCAGAATTGCTACCGCTCCAGTGCCCATATCGTAAAACGGGGCTTTCTCTTGCTGTGGAGACATTGGGTTGGGAATTTTGGGGAGCAGCATGCGGTGATCGAGCTAAAATAGGGCTCCTACATGTCGGACAAGATTGTTGGCGTTCGAGCCAGCTTTTCAAGCACTTGAAATGGAACATATGTCCACAGTCAAGTTTCTTTGCAGACTGCATATCTTCTCTGCAAATAATACAAAGACGGTCAGAGGCACCAAGATCTTGTTCTGTAGCATCCATATATCTATTGAATGCCATTAAATGCGAACCCGTTTACCTTTCCTCCATATTCTGCGTTGCCTGTAGGAATCGACGAAGGTCCTGAATTCTTGTAGCTAACGACTTTACTGTCAAATAAAAATCTCGTATGATGTGAATAGGAAGTCCATATAGACCTGTAACGGCGCCAAAAAAGGTCCCATACAAGAGAAGACGGAAAAAGTCTATAATCGATGAGAGCATCGTAAAAGTACCGGAAATGATGTCCAAATAGACCATTGCAATTGATTTTGACTCCCACTCTTCTGGAGCAAGGGAAGAGTCATAAATATTAAAGCCATATTTTGCTGCACTTGAGATCAGAGACACGGTAAGTATGCCGGCCTCAAAAGCAAATATAAGCATCATCGATGGGCCATATGTGGATATTTGGCCTATAGAATATCTCAGGAATCCAACATCCAAGAAAAATAGAACGAGAAGCAAATATATCATTCTGAGATGAAATATTCTGTTCAGGACAGCGGTTTGCTCCATCTACTCAAATAAAAATATCATTAAGGGATTTGGGATGATTTTCAGATAATTCGGGCACAAAGCTACTTACAAAGTCAAGACGGTCTTTAAGCAGGCCGTGAGCAAGCTTTCCCACCAAAAGAATCCCAAAAAAGAACGCAAATCGTGTGTTGAATTCATCTTTAAAAATAGTCATTGCCATTAGAATTTCGGACAGTGCATACCATGTATTTTCATACATATGCTAAATATAACTAAATTTAGCGCGTATTACCTCATGCTCAATGATCCTTAAAGGCCCAAAAAATACCGCTTGCAATCCCATGCAAACGAGAATACAAAAATAAAAGAAGGTACACATCAGAGGAACATATGAAGCATTGGACCGCAATAGATGCATGCATGCAGGGTAAAATTGGCCATGCTTTTTGTAGGCATAAAAGTTGACACCGATGGACAGTACCAGCAATACCAGACCAACGATCCAGAACTTACTCACTGCTACCATGCTACGTTGATCTAAATGTGGAAAATTAGGTTTCGATGACTGGCCTTCCAATTGTAAATTTAATTCAAGTTTACGAATAAAAATACTTGCCTGATGTCTGCGCTGGCCCCAATTCGGATTGACGTCGAGGCCGATGGTGTTCGGTTTCTAGACACTTTTTTGGTCGACATTAATCAGGCATCTAAGATATCAACACCTCTTGGCAGCTCTTTTGAGGAATATCTTGCCGAGTTGCTTTGCAGAGACTTCAATCTTGTCTCTTCCTCTTTCAGGTCGCAAATTGCAACCTCCATTCGGCTGCAAATGGAAGACTTCAGTAGATTCAACGTTATTCTGCAAGGCCCTCCGTTGATGCTCTTAATCAAGGTTTTTTTTTGATTTTTACTGTAGCTGGACATCATTGCGGTTGGATATAACTTGATAGACCAGTTTGAGTGGCAGTTAAATCCAGAATGTGAAAGCTACAAGAATTCCCCTGAAAACTATGCCACAAAATTTGTTGCCGAAATGTCGCTAAATACAGAGTTTATTTCTGCAATTGCCCATTCAATAAGGGAACAGTGCCATTGGGCAAGAAAGGCACTCGTTAACCAAGGATATGACTGGAACATTGACGAACGCTCACAGGTACACAAATTTGATCTTTTGCTTTTCTTATAGATACCATATGAACTTATGGGGCTTCTTTCTGTAAATCCTAAGCCTTTAGAGCTCCGACCCGAGCAAGAGTGGGATTTATACTCGCCAAAGGTGACCAAAGTTGACGAAAGCGCATCCTCCATTTTCCATCCATCTGCTCAAGAAAGAGAGTCAAGACGACTGCGCCGTCAGATGCGCAGCAAAGGCATGTTGGGGCTTGGCTCCTCCCTGGGCATATTTGGAATGGACTCCTCATGGCCTTTGAGCTTTAAAGTAATCAGATCGCCCTATCCGCCATTATTGGATTCGACCCCGCAAGTTCAGGGTCTCAATATTGTAATATAGAATATTTCATCCAGTAAAAGCATCTTATTTTTGACCTTAATTGATATTTTATTTACAAAATCGGAGAAAGGAACAAAAGAATGCACGAAAGTGTTAGGATTTTCAAAGCAGCCAAAAATTCACGAAAAAGTTCATATTGGCGAAAAAAAAGTACACAAAGCAAGTTAATAGCATCCACTTTTGTTTTGAATTCATGTTCGATTTGAGCTCTAAGTTGACAGTACGAGCGAGCCCTACAAGAATATGGCCATTGCTGTGTAATTAACCTAAAAGCAAGGCTAGTCAATATGCACAATATTTCCTTACAAGACATCAATGAAGAGGTCGTGGATTTGGGTGTGGATGGCAGGCACAGTCTGCAAGGAACAAAATTGCCCTTCTCTGAGATGATATTGTTTATGTTGTATTTTTCCGCAATCACGTAATCACCGGCATATTGAAATATTTCGGTGGTTTCGTCCACCAAAGACTTGATAGCAGTATCATTACTGAAATCTATTTTGGCAGCATCAATCCATTCGTCACTAATAAAAAGAAAGGCCGAATTTGGCCTCGCTTCTAGCAACGAACATAGGATATATTTTAATCGCTCACATAAAAGGCCCAAGGAATTGCAATAAAAAGACGACCCAATAACAAGGACAATTAAAGAAGGCTTTTTGGATGAATTTATCGTCGCAGATTGGCGATAAAAATATTGGGACAATGGCCCGTGAGATTTTCTTTCAAAATTCCATGCAAGCAGAGAAGATTCAATGATATCGTAGCGGACTGAACTGCGTGTAGAGTAGAAGGCTGTCAACTTTCGTAAAAGAGAAATCCATATTGCCACGGGAAGAATCCATATCACGGCAAAAAATAATAAAACAGAGGGCAGACCCTCCCCTGGGATTGACCTTTTATTGGAGATCATTAGGTCTATTTTTTGTTGCTAGCATTTTTAGCCACAGTGCAATGTTAATTTTAGTTTTAATTTTAATTCCAATGGCCGCTCAAGATGATAGCCACGTGGGAAACACCTCCCCCCTCCTCTCTCCTGATCCTAAGACCGCAGCATCCTTGATAAACCAAGTTGATGTTCTCCAAGAGTGGGATGATGAAAATGAGGAATTTACCGGCCCCAATTATAAGCAGGCAGACGATGATTATTTTTCCAGTGTTCAAGATACCCTTAACGAAATTAACAGAGACGCATTTGGCTCCAAAGGCGAGGAAGATGCCATTGAAGCAATGCTGAAAAATCTACTATTGGACAACAACATTAACAGTGATGCTCCAAAGGACTTTTTATATGATACCATGCTTTCTAAGCTATTAGGCCGCGAGCTATTGCATGCGCCACTTCTCGATCTACACAATGAGGTGAAGCGTTCATATTTAATTCCATCAATAGTACCCCAAATGGCTAACAGAACACAGAAAGGAATGTCCAACCCCATCTTGTCAGCTTGTGGAAAATGAGAAATGCCGCTTCGAGGCTCAATATTCTTATTTGGGAGAACTTATGGCCCTATGGGATAGAAAGCAGCCATCTTCTGATGAGCCAGAGTCAAATATAGAAGATAAAGGGATCGATATATTGATCCAAATACAGGATTGTGGGTGTCCTCCGGATGAGCTTATCAGAGACATCGGGGGTGATCCAACATTATTTAACATCAACAATTCTGACAATATCGGCGCGGATTTCCAATCCCAAGGCTGCCCCATGATGTAAAGCATATTTAAAGATTTTATTTTCTTTCAATAAAATATCTTTCAAAATATACAATAAATCTTTAAAAGAATCTCTCTCAAAGTGCTCTTTTCAGCTTGTAGTAAATGTTTACTGCCGGTGGGGGGAGCTTGGTTATTAAAAACTTGGATAGCGTCTGATGATGCCTACTCCACTCCTCCTCCATTTCTTTCAGCGAGCAAAGTTCGGCATCTCGATGTTCTTTTTCGATTTTTGCCCTTTTCTCCTTTTCTTCCTGCAAACGCCGGTGCCTTAATAGGGTTTTTTGAATATTTTCCGACTCTTCCTGTGACTTTCGCTTCAAACAGGCACGTTCCTCTAGTTGAGAGCGTTTGGAAATTAACTCTTCTCGCGCAATTAACTCTTCTTTACACTTGGAAAGCGTTCCAATAAGATGTCCCATTATTCTTTTTGCCCTAACTCCTCGGTTTGCATCCATCAACGATGGCGGTGCTTCTGCTGGCATAGAGGCATCTTGAGAAGAAATCGTCTCTGTACACCACTGATTTGCCATCAACAATAAAAAATAAAAACTGTAAATTTACAACTCCACCAGACCGACTTGAGCAAATTCTTTGTAAATTGGAAATAAATAAATAATTGATTAATTAATTTACATCATAAAATGTTCCAACAATTCAACGAATCGGTTATTTATCCAACGAGGGTAAGATGATATTTTTATTCAAGCATTCAATTGGTAAGGTTAAAACACTCATAGTAAGAGCGTTTGTTTTTTCGCGGCATATTTGGTATCCGCATTCACAATTAGCTCGGTGGAATTAAAGTATGAAATAGCCACGATTCGGCCCCTTTTTAATTCGCGCTGATCAAAGTAAAACGGATATCTTTTTCTTTTTGGACGTTTGCTGCTTAAATGAAATGATAAGCTGCGTTCTTTTTCACTACAAACAGATGAACTAAAGCCATGCGCGCTGTAAAGGTTATGAAAACGGAATCCTCGATAACAAGAAGAGGATTTGGCATTGCATTGACCGCCTTGTGTTTTGCATTTGAGTAGAGACTAGAGAAAAACAAAAGGATCGGTTACCTTTACAACCTCAATGAGGTCAGAGAAAAAGGAAGCCCCGATCGATAGTAGCAATAACAATAACAAGGAAGCAATGTTTTTAATTAGCACGAATGAAGAGGCAATTCCATCAATCAATACGTCCAAAGAATCAAAAGCATCGGGCTCGAAAATATTCGCTACAGGAGAGTAATCGGTTTCCATAAAGTTGGAATAGTAATGATAGAGATCAAGGAAGCGGTGGATCTTATCCCTATACTTTTCCAGGAGTGCAAGATCAAGCTCCTGGTTATGATAATCAAAGATTTTTAGGCAAATGTTTATCTCTTGAGATAGAAACTTGAATTCGCAAAGCGTGGTGTGGCGACGGTGCTCATCTTGGCAGAATGGGTTATAACTTGGCCCACAAAGGCATTGAGTTTGGGCGATTGCATGTTGAGACTCTTGATCCATGTGATGAAATGGCTGCTGAAAATGACGAGAAATCACGGGCTTTATATGTGCGCCACATGTGCCCATTGGTCGGTTTGAGGAAAGCGAATTTCATTGGAA